TGCAGTGTGGATGTGGTGGTGATGTGTGTGTTTCCTGGTTCCAGGCCGCAGGCCTGATCGCAGGCTGGGAACGACGAGCGCGTGTCAGAGGTCAGCCTGAACCATCAACTGAGAGGAAAGCACAGCACCCCCTGACTGCCCTGCCCAACGGACCCAACCATGGGCTCCAAAGTGCTGGGTGAAAACAGCAAAAAAATCCAGTGTCCCCAAGCCTTTTGGGCCCCAAAAAAAAACCCCTGGGAAAAAGCGTTTTTTTTTTGTTTATTATAGATTGGGGTGGGGTTTGAAAAAAAATTTTAATAATACTTAAAGGAACCAATACAATGTTTTTGGCTTTTTTTTTTTTACCCGTTGTTAAAGGGAAAAATTATTTCCCATCGCAAAATTGTTTTTTTATTAAAAAAAATTCTTTTTTTAATTTTGTTTTTTTTTTATCTTTAAAATTTTTAATAATTATTTATTTTCCCAAACCCCCCTAAATTAGANGGTTCCAGCAGGAAAAGCTGGAGGCCGGAAAAGAGTGAGACAGGTAGCGCGCAAAAGTAAAAGTGGAACCGAGAGTGGTATGCCGCTGCTGCGGCTTATATTCAGGTGCGGCTTATAGTCCGAAAATTACGGTATCTGGGTTAAAACAGGAAGTGTGAGAATACCTTCAGAATAAAAGTGAATTCTCGTCTCAAGCGAGATGAGGAGAATAATTTTCCTGGGCAAAAAACTAAATTCTCTCTACTGTAATGCATTTAATAAAAAGCAGAGTAAGCTACATTTTATGGACTTCACTTCAGTATCAGTACAAAAGACAGCATTCATTTCAAAATCCAGCAGAAGAGTTCAAGGGAATTGTCCTTTAAGACACAGAGATGTAATTTTACTCTGCCTCTCAGTTCCACTTAGCGAAGGCTGAATTGCTTTTGTGTGTTTAGGGCAAATGAACACACATTAATAATCTAATCCACAGCACACACACACACACACACGTACACACACACACGTACACACACACACGTACAAATGAATCAGAGTGGTATTTGTGGGTTACAGAACTGACATTTCGTCGGTCTCAGAGGGATATAACAACCTTCCTGCTTCTACTGAAATATAGAATTACTATGGAGACCGCTGACTGTGTGTGTGTGTGTGTGTGTGTGTGTGTGTGTGTGTGTGTGTGTGTGTGTGTGTGTGTGTGTGTGTGCAGGTCCACAACAGCTGTAAAGAACAAATGGGGAAGGTGTGTCCCCTGGGTCAATATCGAGTGTCAATCATCCCTCCCACTGCACTTAACAGCATCGACTCAGATGGTGAGACACCTCTTACACATGCACCATCACACACACACACACACACACACACACACACACACACACACACACACACACACACACACACACACACACACACACACACACACACACACACACACACACACACACACACACACACACACACATTGATGCAGGCTCTTTTGTCCATAATATTGCACACACAGCAGGTTCAAAGTGCAGAAATGTCATTTTTCATCTCCAGTGGGGTCAATATTATGTGCAAAGGTAGAAAAAAAACAAGGAGCTGTTGCAATGTCTCCGCCTCCTCTGCATCCAAATAATAATAATAATCCTTGTGTTTTTAATGTAAAAAAAACCACCCAACTATAAACCGTTATATTTTAGCACGCTGTGTAATACATGTTGTACTTGAACAGATTCATATTTGCAACGTTGTTGAAAGTTCTTAGGGCAGCATTTGTCTTATTTCTACATATTATGGATATTTAAAAAAAAAAAAGGTACACTTTGGTCACACAGTTCTCCAACATGTATTCAACAGAGAGATAAGATAAGACTTTATTTATCCTGAAGGAATTTTTCCCATTTTCTTTACCATTAAAACCTTTGTTATTCATTTTCTTTCAGGCTTCTGGAACGCCACCTCAGCCTCGTGCTCCAGCCCTCTCCTGGTCCTCGTGAACTCTAAAAGCGGAGACAACCAGGGGGTGAAGTTCCTCCGAAAATTCAAGCAGCTTCTCAACCCGGCTCAAGTCTTCGACCTGATGAACGGAGGACCAGAGCTCGGGTACAAAACCATTATAATCCCTTTATAAATAATGAAATAATTGTTTTCGTTGTTGAAGCTCCAGTAGTGCGAGTCTGTAGTCATCAAAGATGTATTCACAAATTGTCACACATCCTTTACTCAAGTAGAAGTACAGATACTTGTGTTTAAAAATACTCTGGTAAAAGTAGAAGTACTGACTAAACTTCTTTACTCAAGTAAAAGTAAAGAAGTATGGGCTTCGAGTAAAAATTACCCATAACTAGCAGCTGTTTTAAAGAGTACCTCCCTTTATATTAATAGAACAATAATGTCATTGTTAGCTAATGAATGTTTCCATGGTGACCAACGGCAACATGACAACGTTTTCATTGGTCCCTCTTCTTTAGAGAAGACCAGGAAATGATGGATACACGGATCGTGTTCAAATCAATAGGCACGCAATGACTCTAAATAATAATGATCACGCCACCAAACACACATTCAAACTAAAGGATTTGGAAAATGTAAGAAGTAGAAAGTACAGGTATTTGTGTTCAACATGTAAGAAGTAGAAAGTACAGGTATTTGAGTTCAACATGTAAGAAGTAGAAAGTACAGGTATTTGAGTTCAACATGTAAGAAGTAGAAAGTACAGGTATTTGTGTTCAACATGTAAGAAGTAGAAAGTACAGGTATTTGAGTTCAACATGTAAGAAGTAGAAAGTACAGGTATTTGAGTTCAACATGTAAGAAATAAAAGTAAAAAGTTGTCAGAAAAATAAGTAGTGGAGTAAAGTACTGATACCAGAAAGATAGTAACTAAGTATTTGTAAAATGAAGCTGTGTTCACTAAAACCTCTTGAAAATGGAATAAGAACATTTGTAAGTTGTCTTATGCCATAAAAAATGATCTGGTCTGAGTTTGATTTTTAAACTGCTGCCCCGGAAAAAGAAGTAACTTTTAATGGCACTTTCCGAAAGGGGATGTTTTGGCCTCAGTAATGTACAGAACTAACCGACGGAAAAATAAGCTCATAAGCAGCTGAAAAGTCTTTTTTCAGTCGTGGGAGTTTGTAGTCCGTCACGACTGGTTTAATGCATGCTGTAATTGTGCTGCCTTTTCCTGACATGTACCTCTTAACACTGTGTGCTCTTCGTCCTCCTCTTCCTCCCCTCAGCCTTCGCCTTTTCCAGAAGTTTGTGACGTTTCGTATCCTGGTGTGCGGAGGAGACGGCAGCGTGGGCTGGGTGCTCTCAGAGCTCGATAAACTCAACCTCCATAAACAGGTGAGTGCAGAAAGGAGGAGGAGG